TTTAAAGGTATCGGATACGGGACCTAATGGTCTAAGAACGTAGACAAACCACTCTAAGAGTGCTGCTAGGGCTTAGAAATCTGAATGAAAGGGAAGATCAAGCAAGGTCGGAAGATCCCCAAGAATTTCATGCTGTCAATGGTTGTAGAACAGGCAGAATGCTTGGTTGTGATTGCAGTCCGTGCAGCTATGATACGGTCCCCCAATTGACCCAATTCGGGTTTCCTGGTATAGCCTGCACAACGGAGACCTAGTACATTCTTAGACCCGAGAAACATCCATTTGGCAGATGAAGACTTCGCAGCGGTTGCCGTGGCAACTTGTGCTGGTTTTAGCATCTTGCAACCCTGGATGCCCAAAACCCCACGCATGTTGGGAGTGTGGTGCACTACGGTCATGAGGGATTTACATTGTCAACAGCGATGACTTGCTACCCACACCACCAACCTGGCGATCCAAGCGTGGCCGCATGGACTATGGCCTGAGCGGATGTCCCAAGGCAGCAATGTTGGAATTCTCGAAGCCGTAAAAACGGCTCTTAAAGAGCTGTGATACTAAGGGTCCCACCATCTCGTCATGTATGTACTTAGGATCTCACCATACGCAGCCATGATTATTCATTCATAGCCTCTCCTGGATACTCCTTGAAGGGAGATCTAGATAGGCATCCAAGGCCACAATCTTGAGGCATCCCCAAGATGTCCTGGGCCCTGGACACCCCACCCCCTCAGGTCTCAGCTGTCTGGCCTTGCCCTGGAGCTGCAGGCCCTTGGCGAGCTAAAGAGTTGAAAGCTAAACTGGTAGCCCAAGGGGTCCCTGGTTCCTGCCAAGGTTGAAAGCTTTGAGGTTTGGAAACTTCAAAAAGGAGTGAGCAGCACTGTTCCAGGTTTGACTGCTCATAGAGGACAACCTGAACCAACCGAACTACCCTACATACCAGAAATTGCAACAGCTAGATTTCCTTTCTGGCTCTCTGCTGCAGAGTGTACAGCAAGGGCGTGCGTGGCTTCAGGAATTGCCAGAATAGTTGATTCTAAATTGTAAGACTTGAAAAGGACCGCATTAGGCACGAAACCTGTGTATTGTAGAGTGATCAGCCAACTCCTTGTCGTGTCGACAAGAACGGTTGTCGCTGTAACGATGCATGTCGTCAGCGTTCCCTGATAGCTGTCATGGTTACAGCTGAGCTACATTGCAGAGCCTTCCTACTTCTAACACAAGTCCACGTGTTCCACACAGCCTTCATCTACCGATCTGTGTGGAGTTAGGATGCAAGCGCAAGGCGCCGAACATCCGTCGTGCGCCCAGGGTTCCACTTTGCTAACCAATTTTGCTCAGAGACTAGCGCCCTTAAGAGGGATACAACGCATGTTGCCAGTTTCAGATGCAGCAAGCAAAGTCTATACTTCCTGCCGTATAGACTGCTTCTTCTTCCTCCAAGCTCAAAAAAAGAAACCTACTACGCATCCGCAAACACCTGTGCGGCCGGTAACCGATACATAGCGCCGTGGCTTTAATGCGGCAAGCATCGGGTAGGGCTTGTAGCGGCCCGTTTCAATGCCTCATCTGAGCAGGCCAAAGTGCTGACACAGAAACACATATGACTGCTGACAATGCTCTCTTGTAGCCCTTACATAACCAGAGTAGACGTTTCCTCAAACTCAAAGCAGCCCATTTATTCAGCCTGCTGCACTTCAAGAGTCCTGCAAGAATGAGCAAAGAGCAACAAGAGTTCATTTGTAGTACGTGTATCGAGTAATGCAACAGCAGCGTTCTCTCGAAGGTCCCTCAAACTCTCGCAACTGCTCTCCGGGCAGTCTGAGAGCTCGACGGCAGCACCCGCACTTTGCCCTTGGCTGTCAAAATTTGAGGAAGAAAGTGGAAAGGCCATGACAGCAATTACGGACAAGTGTTGTTCCACGAATCAGTTCATGAGTTGCCGTCAAGTTGCGGTCCTGCGCCTCTTGCCTCAAGCTGCGCGACGAGGCATCACTCCTAGACTCAGACAAAGCGCTTCGCAGGTCAGAGAGGCGTCGAAAGCAAGCGCATGCGGATTGGAATGCATGGTTGCCCTGCCCCGTACGAACATCCTTGGATTCGGTTGCGGATGCGATCCCAGCATGCTCCCTCAATTCGGCTTGGATTATGGCTTGGAACCTTCAAGCTTGATCAGACAGACGAGTACGATGAAGTTCTGAGTGACGTCGCGGGTGTCCATTCTCTTTTTCAACCCAGCCAGGAAGCACGCTCCAAAATTGCGCTCAAAGTGCAGAATGTTGGCAACTTCGGCGCAACCCCACTACCCCTCGGATGCCTGGCCAAATCTTTTACCGTCGAGGTCGGCGGCAGGTACAATCCCGCACACTCGGCCATGGCGGCAAAGTTTCATTTGAGCTCTGGTTTATGGGTCTAGCTTGATACGTGGCTCTGCTACGGGGTACAGGTCCGGGCGCATGTTGTGATTCGATTCTTCCTAGCAATGTTGGGTTTTTCCAGCGTATATGCCCTTAGCTCATGTTGGGAATTCCATGGTCACTTGTCTTTGTACTCCTGCCTCGCGTGCTATCACAGAGTGCTGTTCTGCGTGGTGTCTCGAAGTCGGTGAAGACGTGGCTCAAAACTTGTGTAAACACTTGCAAAAAAGCTGGTGAGGCAGCCAAAATACCATGGGCGATGACTAACCGCAGAGTTGCAGTCATTTGGGTGCCTCTGCAGGCTTCTTACAGTTATCCGTGGCTTGTAGGAAGCCTGGACCCTCATTTGGCAGAATGCTCCTGTGGTTCACATCAATCTTAGCAGGCTGTGGGGCAACAACATGGACAGCAAATGGAGATTGTACAGCAGCAAGACCCACCCCTTGCCGCCTTCGCGGGGGTTCTTGAAGATATGGATCCCTTGCAGATCCCTATGATGCATGCCTGCAAAGAGAAGATAGAAACTTGTGAGAAAACCACTGAACCCTGCCTTCCACAGCTGTTTCAACAATACTGTTGTCAACACTGAATTGATCTTGTCCTCCAAATTGATCAGTATTGCCAGATTCTAGAACTGCATCGCATCAGATCGAAGCATGAGCCGGTGGCATCAAGGTCAGAGCCGTACTGACTTGTGACAAGGTCAACCCCCTTGCGTATTCTAACTATTGACCCCAAAAGATGATAATTGTCCACGATCTTCCGAGCTCCCAAAAGCTTTTGTGCGCGCGGGCCATCAGGTGATCTTCCTGTCTTGTGTTTCCGCCGCTGGCAGGCCTCGCGCGAGACAGATCCATCCCTTTTGGGGGCACCTCTTCAGGTCTTGTAACCCAACAAATGATCAAGAAACATCTGAATCATCAGCCCCAGAAATTTTACATAGACTCTCAACCCCTCGCCCACCAAAAGAACGAAGGGATGGTCAACCTTTGCGCCCTGGCTCCAAGGTCCTCCCCAACCCTTCCCAAACTCGTTCTCTCAGGCAGCTTCCTCCAACTCTCAACCCTAAGCCCTCAACCCTAAAGCCCAAAAGTCTTTGCCAAGCTCACTTCTCCCAGCTCGGCCTGCCTTGGCCCAGGACTCGAAGTTTAACTAAGCCGGCCTCAGGATAATTATCCACCCCTTCCCCCCACACTAGGTTAGGGTTTCGGGTTGAGGGTTTAGGGTGCAGGGTTATAGGGTTCCGCAGACTAGGGCAGGGAACTTATAGGTGTTTAGGGCTCAAGTTTTGACACGTTTTTGGGTCGAACCTCCAGGAATGATGTCACGGGTGTGCCTCTAAACGATGACACTTTCCTCAGGGGCTCTATCAGTTTTATTGTCAGGATGGCCTGTTTGGCCTGCGCTGCGAGTTGGCTTTCTTGAGGGAATGCAGGTTTTTCTGACTTACGTTGCGCATGTGATCAATCCCTGAACTCTAAACCCTAAACCGTATTGGCTTGGCATATAACTTCTTCAGCATTAATCAGGGATCCTCGGCCAAAAGTCTACACGAGTGCCCGGAGAGTGGTCATGTAGTTCCCTGACCCGACGCTCTAAGCTCTAAACTGCAATGTTGGGTTCACGCGCTCCTTGTCGACATCGGCAGCAGTAGCCATCACAAAGATAATTTGTAGAATCTTTCTTGGGTCTATCACCCCAGTACAACTCTCCTTAGCTTCAAGCGCAACTTATTCCCCCAAGAAAGTACCCCTAATTTTGGAAAACCCTAGACCCTAAATAGTAGCTTCCGTTTTCTTTTTCCATTGTCCCTATCTAATCCTTGTATGCCCTCATATAACCCCTATTTAACCCATATATAACCCCTAGATAGCCCCTATAAAAACCTTGTAAATCCCGTACCCCTAATTTTGGAGCCGCCTTGCCTGAAGCCTGGTCCAGGACGAATCCAGGCTGCGATCCAGGTCCTGGCACTGCGGCACTTGATAATGGGTATATAGGGGATATCTAAGGATATGTTGGGATATTTAAGGATATCTGGGGTTCAGTGTTTAGGGATTAGGGTTTAAGGCACTTTCAGGTTTGGGGTTGAGGGTGTAGGTTTAAGGGCTTAGCGGGGAAAAAGCATAGCTCAAACATGTAACAATGCCTACGTCCATCTTGTAGTGACAAGATGAATACAAGTAGCAGCAGTAGCCGTAGCAACAGCAATGATATCCGAAAAGAGTGAAAGTAAGAAGAGTATCCACACCCATACTCCAGACCCAACAGTTAAGCAGTAGACAGTGAGACTTTCTCCGTTGACCACTGCCACCCACATAGCAGTTAGAGGAAACAACAATGGCAGAGAGTTGGCAAAAGTGAGTACCAGTGACCTGTACTGCACTCTACTTTACCGGCTTTCTTATTGATTATGTCCCTATAGACTGCTAGACGCACGTCAACTGGGAACCCCAAATTCTGTAGCAGCTACCCAAAGAACCCTCCCGCGATCATCCTCATAGAATCTATTTCCTCGTTAAAAGCCCGGCATGGTTGTATGAATCCATGTATCAACCCCATCAAACCCCTTGCATGTAGGATCTGCTATACCAGCTGCTGGTTTTGCGCCTCCAGTAGCCCTCGCCGTCTCTGAAGGTCTGATTCCGCCTGGCCAGGGTTTCAGGTTGTAGTAGTTTAGGGTTCAAGGTTGGAAGATAAACGTGTGCGGTCTCAAGTTTAGTGCAGGGTTCAGCTTCGCAAATGGTAAGTGCCAATTTCTCACTATGGCTATGGATTCTCAAAGTTCATTGCATCAAGTCAAACAGCTGTCACTCATGTCATGAACCCTTCATTACATTCCCGCTGTGGCCAGTTGCGTACGCCAGCGGGCACATGTCGGAACTTGCCTACATTCTGATATTCCCAAAATGGGAGAAACTTATGTTGCGACCCGTGTGAAATGTGAAAGCAGGGCCCCACATGCTAGGACTCGAGTAGGGACATCCCCGAAGAGTAGGGCTGCACATCCGTCCCGTCCTCCTTCACCTTTGACTCAAGCGCCTCGCGCCTGAGCAGAAGTTTAAGCTCACGCTCAGGGTCTTCTGAGCTGCTGCTAAGGAACTTAAAAGGAATTATCATGATATGGTTAAACATTAAATTGCTGTCCTTGCGGTGGTAATTCCATTCGAGTCCCTCAACAGAGCAACCCAGCGTTTGACTTGCAACTGCTCTCGAGGAATTGCCAGCCAGTCAACAAACGCATCCTTGCATAAAGGCCCCCCATACGTGTACTTACCAAAGTTGCCAGAATTGGGCGCACATACCCTAAACCCCAAGCATAGTCTAGTAGAGCCTTTAATGTAAAAGACAAACAAGGATTTCGGCAATCCACAGATGGGCCTATACCGCCCCTACAAAAACCCTAACAAAATCCCCAAACCACTTCACCCCAAACCCACAGAACCTGAAGCATCAAACCCAAACATCTCAAACCCCCAACCCCAAGCTCGGCAACCCCAACACCCAAAACTGCAAGCCCCAAATCCCAAGGCCTCAAAATACCCAACCCTGAGCCATGTGGCAGGGGCCTCCTACGCTTCTCCGCTGCTCGACATCGCGGCCTGAGACCAATGCATACGCCATCATACTGCAGATGCAGGACATCTTGCATCTTCTGAACACAGAGCTGAAGGCTCAAGAGGGGCTCAGTTCACGGCTTGCTGGACATAAGAACCATCAAAATGTTGATGTCCTGGGAGTCTCCTGGGAGTTTCCCCATTCTTCGCAGCACTGAGAGCTTGGCTGTCGGCGAAGAGCGGCATGCGCCTCAACAACATCTGAAGGCTTCTGGGGTCTCTCTGATAGCCGGGGTTTGGCAGTTTGTCTATGTGCTTTTTCGCTGACTATGATGATGGACCCTCGGAAGGCTGAGAGAGAGGCTATCTTGGCACGTCCACGTAGCTTCGACAACTTCGCCTGCTGAGGCTGCGATCACTGATTTTTGCCTCCAAAATTTCTAAGTGCAAACGCCTCACCCCCCAAGGTCCGGGTTCCTGTGTGAACCCCGTCGCACGCTAGAGCCACACTGGCAGACATAGGCAGACCCTACGTAGACAGAACCATAGAGGGCATGAAGTTGATAGATACACTGTCTGGCATGGGTTTAGACGCTTCAGACTGCCCCAGCTTCCGGGGTCGGTATTGGACATGCAACTTGCTCCGTAGTAGCGGCTCGGTCCCAACAACGTAAATGGGCTGCGAATGTTTGTAGCTTGTTGCTGAGAGCCACAGGCACATGTGGGACTTCAAACGTCAGCAGAGTTGCACATGCTGTACATCAAGTCTTCGTAGCCTTGCCTCTGCACCTAAAGTGTGTACAGTAGATTCATCAATGAAGTGCTGTCGCTTCGCTGGGTAGAGCACTATAGAGCACTGACAGGGCTGGTGTGACGGGCACCTTCGTGGTGTTGAACTGCGTCGAGACCAGCTGTATGGCCTGGCAAAAAGCGAATGCTCGACCTTGCCCAAAAGTACCAAGAAGCCGCTGCTTCAGCCAAAGCACCCGCGTGAAACAAGAAAAACATCAAGAGCAGCGAAGCAGTGGAAAGAAGAGTAGGAGGAGGAGCATTAGCAGCAGCGATATGTATGACACTTCTGACAATGCAAGCAGCTCCAAAAAACGTTGGCATCCAGCTGGCACCAGCATCTGCACAGCCCTCAAGACCCATGCATGCCGCCAAAAACTGACTCCCCACCAGGGTTTAAGGTTTTGCTTTCAGGTCAAAGTCTGGTTCCCCTATATACGACAGAATGAAGAGGGAACCCACGTTTTGAGACACCAGCGCATGGGTTCTTAAGTACTTAGACCAGGCGGCACTTTGTGCCTTGAAATGGTTTTCTACCGCTGCATGCAGCTGGCGAGCAGCATCATCTGCCACGAGGCGTGCTTTGAGCCTAAGGCTTAGGCCGTCGGGCTTAGAGATCACAGGGGTTTCTGCCTGAGGGCGTAGGGATTTAGGGACTTGGAGGTAGGGATGCAAAGGTTTATGGATCAGGCTTTGGGCTGGTGAGTTGAGCGAGGTTTAGTGACTTCGCAGTGAGGGGTTGGTAATTACCGTTTTACATTGGTGCATAAGACTGTGGTGGGGTGGGTAGGCAGCTTGGCAGTCAGAGTAGTGAACACCACGATCTAGGGCTTGCAAGCCATCCATTGGTGAACAAAACAGACATGATGCAACGGCTGGACCAGAAGGGGTATAGTGGTGGCACACAATACACGAATAGCAAATCATTGATTGTGACCAGGATTCGACTGAAAAAGATCAAAGTCAATGCATGTGCCGTAATACCCCAACATGCCCCATCTTCACAGAGGCATCACACTGACCTGGAAGCAGAGCATTTGAGCTTCGCGCAGACCACGGGAACGGTTCTTAGCAAGCTCCCATCGCTGGGAGAGGTTGGCCAGCTGCTGGGCCAGTCGCTCCTCACGCGGATGGTAGGATCAGGCTGTATAGCAATTGTAGTCGTCATCATCTTCATCGCCGCCGGGGCGGTGGTGCTTGCCGCAGTGGTGGTGGCGACTACGGCGAGTAAGGTGGCCAGTACTGTTCCAGAATGGTGGAAAGAATAACGTGGCGACCACGAGCACCGTGGCGACTACAGTGGCAAATACGGTGGCGAGTACGGTAGAGTGCGGTGGCGGTGGTGGCAGCAGCAGTGGGTGCGATGGCCGTGTTGGCGACGGCAGTTGGCAGTAGCAGTAGTCGTTGTAGCGGGTAGGAACATGCATGATAGCCGCCGCCACCGTCGTCGTTTTTCGTTGTGACAGGAAATGAATTTGAGAAGCCTTGATGCGTTCTCTATTCCGAAATCAGCTCAATAAATCCCAAAATGGGCACCTGCAAAACTCCCAACAGCAGCAGGGCCATCAAGAAATTTGAGAACTGCCCCCTGGCGATCATTTGTTCCAACACTGGGGAAGCCATCCTGCTTTGACCACAGCTTGCGGTCAGCCTCCCAATCGATCTCCTGCAGATGCCACTGGCCCAGAGAAGTCTCCGTGCTTCCGAGAGAGTATTAGGAATCAGGCCGGCTTGAGTATGCGGTTTATTTCAGGTTTAGGACTTTTTTGCGAGGTTTAAGACTAGCAGCTAGGGTTTAGGTTCAAGGTCCATGCCTGTAAGAAAAAATGGAAAATCTCTAGAGAACACACATCCCTCGCACGCCGGGGCCTTGTACGAGATGTTTGAAGCTGGCTCAGAAGTGGTGGTTTCGGTGGTCTGAGTGCCCGCAGCACCTCGCAAAGGGCAAGTCAGGTGTGGCAGGTTCGAAGTAGGAGTTCTAGGAGGAGGCGGAAGAGTGGGTGTAGTGCTGCTGATAGACAAAAACAGCAGCGGCACGATGCTAATCGAAGGTGATAGTGGCAGCAGGCACTAAGATTTCAACATGTTGTTCAATGCAACAATGTCTGGGAACCGCAGATCTGAAGGAACGAAATATGTCTCCTGCCAACACCTGATGCCGTCCTACATGCCTGCATGCCTGCATGCCTCTGTCTGGACCTGATATCTTTCCTCGGAGCTGGGGCTTGGTACCTGTTGCTTGGTGGGGTTTTCAGGTCTGCTTTCTTATGGGTCTCGGCCTGCTCTCACGCCCCACTCGCCATCCTCATTGCGGACTGGCCATGACTCCTTCAAGGCTTGCTCCATGAACAAAAAAGAGCAACTTCATCTAGCTATCAACGACAAATTGTGTTCTGCGCTTCAAACCTATTTCGAGTCCTCGTGGACTTGCGGAGTTTTCGACGGACCGGTCGTCGTTGCTGGCGACCCCGTTTTCGATGGCGCTTGCTCAGGAAGCACGTCGTCCGCTGCAGCATCGGTAGCAGAATCCGGCTCATCGGTAACAGTCAAGTTGGGAAAGTTGCCTTCTGGTTCGGTACCATTTACTTGTACTGATGTTGACAGGGAGTGCTGCGTGGTGGTAATGGAGGAATGCATGGTGGTTGAGGTGTTCGCCCACACAGAAGTTGTTGTGTTTGCTGACACAGTTGCTGTGACAGTCGTCGATGCTGTGGTCGTAGTTGTTGCAGATGTCGATGTTGAAGACTTCGCAGTGGTTGTGGGTGTTGGGCTACTTGACAGCTCCGCGCTCGTGTTGGGTGCGCTGCCGAGATCGGGATCAGTAGCGAAGCTGTCTACATGTCCAGGCAGAGCACGAATCCTGGGATTGCAGGGACGCTTTCGAGTGGCTTGGCGGCCTTTCTGAAAGCCGTCGTACTCATCAGGGATCGCACGCTTTGAAGTCTCGCCCCTCTGAGCCAGAAGTCGCAGCTCTTGGCCTCCAGAAGTCGTGTCTCCGCTTGTGGTCTTCACGGACTGCGTGGACATATTCGACGACTCGACTGACCTGGCAGGTGCAGCATGCCTACAATTTAGGGAGAAGCACGAACGAAATGATAAGAACCGTGTCAGGCACCATACACGCAGAACAGGAGAGTTTTTCTGTCACACACAAATCAGGGTTGCCCGTATACTAGTACTCCACATTCGCAGGGTTCCCAAATGCCCCTGCTTCAAACAGCTGAAAAAAAGAACCAGAACTTGGACGCACTCTGCTGTGTCTCCGTGAATGCGGGCGCCTGTTGCCCGGGACACCTGAGACCAGCACTGTTTGCGACTGCATCTGCCTAAACTAGATCTTTTCGTATCCACCTTCTCGTTCTTTGATACTATCATGTGAAGATCACCTTCAACTGTCAACTGTCGTTGCCACTATGATCCGCAAAGGAAACAGACACTACTATCCAGTCAGTGCCTTCGCGAAGAACGCACTCATTTCTCAGTATCGCGTTGCAGTTAAAATCACTGGGCAGGCGATCCTCGAAACGGTCTCTGACTCCCGGGGGCTTGAGAACCCTGCTCCTTGTCGGGTACCTTCTCCTTCACCCGCAACCCCACCAAACGTCTGAAACTCAATCTCTAAAACTCCCACCCACACCCCTGCGCTAGCTGCTCCATAACTGAGCTCTCCACTGTCCTCCTGACGCTGGTGGACCTTTACCTAGGATTCACGCACAAAGCCATGCCTAGCCTCCTTTTAGCCTACACCCTAAAGCCCCGCCAGGCTTGAAGCCTGAACCCTACAAAGCCTAGAAACCCTAAGCCCCAACTTCAGCTAGCCACGCCATGTTCAAAAGAGCCCCAGGTGCATGCCGCGCATCGTTCAGATCCGTAAGGTCCTGAAGCACCTTCTCGTAGCTGCGCTCCTGGGGCATCAGGCTTGCGTACAGAAGTTCAGAAGTTTCTACACAACAGGGCGAAACAATTCCTGCTTTAACAAAAAATGCCCGCGTTGTTGACTATTTTGGGGGACCCTTCAAAGATTGGAGTTTAAGGCTTGGGCCCTGAAAGGTTCAGCGAGCAATGCATCGGCAGAGATTTCCAGTGCAGGCGCCTGGCCTCTTGCAGGACATCGTCTTTGACCTTCTCCTGCAAGCAGAGTTGTAGAACGAGTGCTAAACCAACATACCGGAGCCATAAATGGCCCCGCCCCACATCATGGAAGCTGCGGTATATTCGGGGTATATCAAAAAAGCATTTCCAGCCTCCAAGGCCCGCGTTGCGTTCAGTGCCCGCTCGCCCTGCATTGCCTCCTGACCCACGGGCGGAGGGGTTAACAGTGTGATAGAGTGGTCCTGGGCCCCGGTTTGTGTCCCCTAGCAATGTCATCCCAAGTTTCAGAAGATCCCAGAATGGCACCCATGTGTCAGGGAAAACACCCGTGTTGAAACCTAAGCAGCTGAATAGAACTAGAACACGATCTCCAGGTGATTCTACCATTCTCACATGGATAAGATAACGGGACTCAGTCACTAGTCATTCAGGTTGCCATATGTCATTCCTTCTACCATCGCAGAGCACTCTCAAACGTGGGCTACAACCCTCAAGGCTTCCAATTCCTATACTTGGTTGGAGCTGTCACAGCACTCATATCCATTGCTAGATGCCTCAATGGCTATAAAACACAGACTTCAAGAAGAAGAGTTTGCCAGGAGGTACTGCCGAACAAGTCGGCATGTTCTGACCGGCACCATCGGCTGTCGGCTGCCTCCTGGATCCTGTCCACGTGCACCCGCATTGTTTTGAGCAGCCTGCGACGTGTAGCATAAACGACCTCAAACAAAAAATCAGGATCCAATGCCTGGCAGGGCAACTTCAGTCAGGGCTGCTGGGTAACAACCGTCCATTCTCCATACTACATTCGTGCACAATGAAACAGGCGAGCCTCCGACACCACATCTCACTGGACTGCAAAATGGTAGATCATGGATCTACTTACAACGGGTTGCTCCAAAATCATGCTGGGCGGCCTACCGCTTTAAACGAGAGAGTCTCGAAATTTAGGACAACCAAAGTGAAGAAACGTACTCATCTTGTAAGCTTTTGGAGAAACATACTCAGGCAGAAGGGTGCAATATTCCCATGCCCGCTTCTAGTTGGTAATTCCCGAATGAATGACGCAAGTTGCAGCTGCTGCCAATCTTGCTGGAGCCTCTGTAGGTCCTCTTTCTCCGCCACAGCTCCTAGAACCTGATACCAGCTTGGGATTACAAGCATGGCGCTACCCTTACAGATCCTCAGGATGTGTTTTTCTGCTATTTGTTAGGTCTTCTTTGCTGAAACTTCTATAAGGCAGGCATTCTGTGGAGAGTTGCAGGAGAATCATAGCAGCCCTTAAGGATTTTACAAAGGATTTTTGAGAAACTCCTCGCGCCGTGCAGCTTGATTTGCGCTTAGTCAGAAGACAAGCCCTGAACGTGAACAGCTTGGGTTGGATGAAATGGGCCCCTGCATCACAACTTGGGCCCTGCCTTCAGGTACGTCTGAGCTATAGCGGGCTATGATACAGCGACGGTAACAATTTCTCTTGTCTTCACCATCCGGTCCAAGAATGGAGTCCTGTAGTCAGTATGAGCTCATGATGAAAATGCATTCGGAACCCTGGCAATGACTTTTGCTCTTCGGCCAGGCTATGGTAACCAAAGTTGGATAAAGACCATTTGGGTGATCCGGCGGCCCGTTTTTCTGAAAACCATCCTCATGTTGGAATGAACGAGGCAAGCCGCAAGTCAAGTCCATGATTGCGTGTTGGGGTTATGGGCTTAGGATTTAGGGCTACGGGTTTAGGATGCAGGGCTTAGGGTTAAGGCTTTAGGATTTAGGGTTTAAGTATTTCTTTACAAACCCTCGGACTTTGGATGTCTGCCGAAAGCGACCTCAGTAGACGTCACTGACCCTTCGTCAAGGCTTAATTTAGGGTTAAGGGTTTAAGATCCTGGGGTTAGGGTTAAGGGTTTAGGATTTAGGGTTTAGGGACATTGCTCTTGCCAGAACCGAGGAACCCTTCATTCAGATCATGGGCGTATGATTCTGCTTCACAATCTCACCAGCCAATCACCCAAACCAAAACCCTACAACCTCAAATCCTCAAATCCTCGACTTGCAGGTTCAAACCACAAAGACTAAAAACCCTAGAGGCCTCAAAGCTTCCCACAACAAAATCTCCAAAAACAAACTCTACCCTACTTGCTGACACGCCCAACATCGAATGCCCTCTTCCGACCTCGCGCCGAATCTGTTGCAGTCGGCGCCGCAACCGACGGCGCTCGCCACAGCTGTGGCCGCCGCCTTCGCGCCCGGGGTTCCGAGTTTAAGCTTTTGAGATTCAGGGTTGAGCTTTAGTATAATTAACCGGCTTCCGGGGGCTACAGTAGGGCGGGATCCTGCAGAGCGTTACCTCTGGAACATGGAAGCTTGGAATGTGATGACTATTGCTGTTGAGACGTCTGCAGGGTCAAGCTTCGCGATGACAACAAGAGGATTGGACAGTTTTGTCATCCTCCTGTCGCCTCACAAAAAAAGCCCCCAAAAACAACACCTATGATTCCAGCGAAAAAACAGACAAAGGGCATGTTCAGTGCGAGCAGTGCGGACACTGGCTGGGTCACCGGCTCCCTGCGTCACTCTGGTTCTCGAACTGCCTGGACAGTCTCCACTTTTTCTAGTCTGTCTTTGTTCGGAAACTGCGTTTCAGAGGATTGAGTTCCTGAAGAATACATCCGTGACCCTTACGTTAAGCTACTTTCAGCACTGCACCCCGGGCCTGACTGCATCCTCCAACGCGATCGTCCTGCAAAAGACGTGCCGTCTGTGTATGGGCAGGACTTGGACTGGGTGCGACATCTACCGTGTCCCCGACTTATGGAATTTACGCTGAAGACTATATGATCCGGGTAGACGTTGGGCGAATGTATCGGAGAGACTTCCTTGAACTTCACTTGAGTCTACACTATGCGACCTCGATTTCCGCCGTACTGAGTAGCTGTGAGAAGTGCGTACAGTGCTAGCATCAAGAACAGTGTGCCTCTTTTCCTGTTGCAGGTAATGGCTAATGATGGCCGGGGGCAGGAGCCCTCGCGCTAGTGCTTCTGGCCCAACTCATGCAAAGATGAGAAACCGACACGCAAGATGGGGCTCAAGTTGAGCCACTCTGAGATCATTTGGCACACAGCCCTCTCCAACCCGCTTGGAAGGGTATCGGAATGCACCACTAGAAAGTCCTGTTCCTCGCCAGAAGGACGTGCTCTAGAGCCTCCAAGACCTGGCAGAGGAATGGAACCCCGTACAGAATAACTGGATCAGGGCTTTGGGATCGATTTGTTGTTGGGAGCCATGGCGACACATGGCTACTTTCCTTGCATGGAATGCCGCACACACCATGGTCCTGTCTGATTGATGTTCGAGCATTCTCAAATGACATACTCCATGTTGAAAATTCACAAGCGCTTCTCAAACCTAAAAGTGTGGCCTTTCTCTTCCCCACGTAGCAATCACATGTGCTTGAGCGCATGGAGGAAAGCAATTAGCAAAAGCCTTTGCTCCCATCTAGGAAGTCGAAAAATCAGTCTTCTCTCATACACTCCCAGATATCTGGCACTCTATGCCTCGGAAAGCTTCGCCAGCAGGTGGTCAGTGGTACACTCCAGGCTTGCGGCCTACATCATCAGCATGAGAAGGAAGGGCGAGTTGTTTTCTACCTTCTAAAACCTCCGTTTTCAGAATCCTTGCTGTGCAAGAGTCCGGGTCCTATCTAGGCAAGTGTGCATTGCCACCAAGCCTTCCTTGGAAGCAGACAAGCATAGATCCTCTTAGGAGTCGGAAAGATGGGGAACTGGTAAATGTGATGTAATTCAGGTTGATGAGCTATCAGCCCGACTGTCATCTGTCATGACTTGTTGTCGTTGTCTGAGATACGGCTGTCCACAAGTAGATATTCCATCTACTTCGGAGAGACATTGAAGATTTCCAGGCCTCCTCCCGGATGTCCGACAGATTGTCAGTGCCGCTCGACACATTGGCTGAGACGTGACCCTGAGACACTAGGTGGTTGCGTTTGACTGAAGAAAATTTTGATGGAAGATAATCCTGTAGCTGGCGGTAGGTATGGTGGTACTGCCGCTGATAACAAACTTGGAAAGTAACGAGAATCATATTGATGGGTCGCAGTGAGAATCGCAACAAAAGAAAGCATCATCAGTAGCACTTCCATAGCCTATACTTTTTGAGCAGTTCTTCGCAGCTGTCCAGCGTATTTGCGTCGCGTGTATAGGCTGGATGAGGGCGGTACTCAGACGAATACGAATACTAGTCAGCAAAATTATCACGGATCATCATCAGCATAATCATCATGCGAGCTCATAAAACTGAAACGGTTTGCCCAAACATGGGTCAAAGACTACTCTGAAGGCAGCCCAGTTTGGGGGCCAAAAACCTTGGGCTTTAAAAACACACCGCCCTACAAAAGAGCAGGCTGTATGTCTAAGGTGTAGTTTGAATTCACTCGTGTTCCTTAATCTGACAATTTGGTTTTCCATTACTGTGTATGAAGGGGGGCCTTACTAATCAAGAGCAAGGATTAATGATGAAACGCACAAGTACATAGAAAATGCTACCAGCAAGTTACGACAACAATACCGGTAGCGTTCTGATTCTAGATATGCAACAAGAATTTGTGTGCCATTTCCCGCCCTCCAGGCCAACAGGCACATCTCAACAAATCCTCTTCACTGTTGACGCATCACTTCATCACAGCGCACCTTGAGACTAGTACCAGTACCAGAAGCTGAACCCCCATTGAACATTCTGTTTGATGGCAAAGCCAAGTAAAGACAAAATGGCCTGGAAAAGACGGCATCATACTCCCCATCATGCTTCTGAAAACTCATGGCCTTTTTTCAAGTGATCACAGCATTACCACTGACTGATAGTGCGACTCCAAGGCGAATGGAGGCCGCGGCCTTCAGGTCTTCCAGCTGAGTCTCCAAAAGGCGAAGGACCGACAAGGGGCCTGCTGAGGTTAAAGTAGAAAAAACTGAAGGTTTTGAACTTGGGCTGGGGCATCTCTTGGCAGAAAATTGCAGAAGAGTTCTGAGGAGAAAATGTTCGCATTCGTTCAAGGATTGCGCGGGTTTTGCCCCTGCTCCCCCAAACAGGAGCTCACAATTCCAATACCANNCCCCCCCCCCCCCCCGCATCTATGCATGGCAGATTTCGCTTTCAACTTTGATCTGTACTGGAGCTCAGATTAGGTTCGTCCGTCAGGACCCAGGCAACACTGCGACCAACTTGGGCTGGAGTATTTGAAGTCAATCCACCACGCAGTCTTGACTGGAATCGTTCCGCCATGCAACTGGACTAGGTGGTGTAATAACTTACTAGTTGAAGCAACTCTCAGGAACGTAGCCTGAAATGATACAAACATGCTAGTTGCAATTCCATCAGCACCCCCAAACCCTTGTATTCTGCTAGGCCTTCCAGCCATGCTGAAAGCCCATCATCTGAACTGCTACAGGGTTACGGTAAGAGGCTCTCTTTCCACGTAGTGACACCGCGCATGCTTTCAGTCCACCTCATGGTTGAAGCTTCTTGCTAAGAGGTTCATTGTAGGCACATGAATGTCGAGTATAGCCGCCGCTGTCACTCTCATATACTAACTTGAAACTGCCCGCGAAGAACGCGCCTGAAATCTTTGCCAGGCCGGAGCTTTCAGCAACTTGCCTGGCCTTCCATCAAAAGCTCAGCGCTGAGAATGAATCTGGTTTAGAGGTTCCAAAACGAACCAGCTACAGCATAGGGTACTTACCGGGGAATTTCTTGGGCCTCTCAGGGCTCTGAAGAAGGTCAAACTCCAACACGCACCCGGTTGTCGTTCCCTGCAACCGCACTACGGCAGGCATCCATAGAAGCGTAATGGCTTGGGATTGGTTGTCTTTTTGTCGAATATAACAACTATAAACATATGCAACCGTAGTTGCAACGTGGGGAGCTGCTTCTACACGCTTTTCTGACCCCTCCCCGTGAATGTTGGCCACGTGCCTGGCTTCGAACCTCGCGCACAAGCGCCTGTTCGGTGAGGTGAAGCCGTAGAGCATCCTCCTTTGATGTGAGGACGACTACTCTTGTTGTTGTCTTGGAAAGTTGAGACTTTAGGGAATCGTGCCGGGGATGAAGTCTATACGATTTGGCATCGGACCAGTACTGGGACCTCATTCGCTACTCAGCACCAGGACTAAGACGGACATCGACGACACAGAGGCCAGCTTACTGGACTTCAGCACCAGAAGCACCACCAGAGCTCTTGAATCCCGATTTGATTCATCAACTTAGGGTCCCCTATGCCTCCATAGCTCGGTCGGGTTGTAACCACGGTTGAAGCGAATGCTAGAGCCACGACAAGATTTTGTGGGAACCACGGTGTACAAATGTCCAGGTGACTTTGGAAAGCGCCAAAATATGCCAAAATTCTTTTGCGCCCGCCCAGACTTCCCAGAGTGGGATGTGGCTGGACACGTGCGTGTGCGCCGGATGTTGATCTTACGCGTTTGCAGCCAAAATGGACCGCCCGTGCCCAGTGCCTCTGTGTGTGAGTGTAGGGGTTGAGGGTTGTGATCTTGCCTGCGTGATCTTCATAAGACACAAAGCAACGATGCTGGCCACAGACAGGCAAGACCTTCGCGAGCCACATTTGCATGGTTTTCATAAGCCTAAAGAGCTGAGACAGCGGCTCCTGGATTCGAATGGCATACTTTATGCCGCATTTACATAAGAACCAGATGGCACTTGTCGTCCATTTAGACCTTGTTGTTTACACATGGGACAACAGGCCTGGCTTCTCGCAACGTTCTGTGTGGTTCGGGCACCGAAGTCAAAGTTCGTCACTATTCTAAGAGCTCCGGCAGGGATCCCACGTCATCCCACAGACCAAACATGTTCTGGCCTCCGTCTGCTGCGCTTGGCCCGCCGCCAGCAGCAGCCACAGCAAGAGGCCCTCCAGTTTGGGCTGAAGAAGTCCCGTTTGGAACTGAAAGAGCTGTATAGCTCATACACACGGCTTTGCTGGATGATACGAATTGTGCATGCAGGGTATGCTAGCTTTGTTCAACAGGACCTGCAGAGAGGCACTGCGGAGAGAGAGCGAGAGAGAGATAGGGAGAGAGAAATTTCTTTCTCAAAATGTCAGTAAGGAATAGCAACGTTTTTGTCAACATCATGGCTGGAACCTTGCCATGATTCCACATGTTGAACTGTTTCTCCGAAGCAAAGGTCTGGAAACGCACCGGCTTCAGGATCTCTGCGTTGCACTTGGCACTGCTGATGACGGACTCAACCCGGCATTGTCTATAGGGAAGAAAATTACATCATTCCTGTGGTTAGGATACTTAGACAAGGATTACTTCAAGTCCCTCCAGATTTAGAGCGTAGGAATCCCGAAGCAAGGATGCAAACTGCTCGAGGTGCATACGGGACCGTAAATTGGAAAAACTCTTCACTCATCACATGAAACTAAGAAACTCCCTAATGCCTGCATCCTGACGCATGGCAGGCTGCTGCCAGCCTCTTTCCACATCACGCGTGGGCGAGCCGCTGCCTGATATCACATCATCAAGGAGGTTCTCGAAGTAGAGCCCCGTTTTAGCGCACTCCGAAACATGTCTATGATTTGAATAAAACCCGCAAACTTTACTGTTATAGTCATGCGGTACGATTTGGGCACCAAAGCATGAATTGTAAGAGGAAGGGAGCAAGCTTTGCAGTCGGAAGTTTCTTCAAGTTGAACACTGTTTTGAATCCTCAGGCGGAGGAGAGTCGGCATCCGTCAGTTCCGGACTTTAGCACTAAACCTTGCTGCCTCTGAAAGTCCCCGAGGATCCACACAATACCACTACTCAATTCAGGGTTGCACTGTCTGGGCCCCCCGCCAACGAGGGCCACAAGCCGCAGGCATGGGCTCTCGCTGCAATCTACAAAAGCATTCAAAAATCGTCATGTTGGCTGTGTCGGGTTAAAGTCCCTCAATCAAAGGAGCCCTAAAGAGAAGTCCGAACTTTCAGAAGGGGCTAAGGCCGGAAACATACATGGCCTCGCAGGCTGATTGGAGTTGGGTTGAGAGAGGATGCGGTGTAGCGCTGCATGCGCAGCTCCTGTAATTCAACTGGCAAAGGACTTTCTTGAAAGTCATACGCATCAATCACAGACTTGTACAACATCTTACCCTACTTACTGTCCCAGGCATCATGCATGTTGAGGTCTTGCAGGCAAGGGGTTCCGCCTGCACCTGGAGCCAAGCACCACGGAACCTAAACTTCGCAGGATCATTCACTACAGCCTCTTGGTTGTCGAACTCCTGTGGAAAAAGCCGACACTACGGACTCTCCAAATGAAAAACTTACAAACTGAACGTACATGAGATTGTCTTCTGCATGGCACTTGTAATTACCCAGGAGGCCATGCTCATGGTCCCTTCATGGCTATGCGCGGAAGCATCGGACCTCTTTGAATGCGCTCGTGCACTTTGCAACATGCCAGTGAATCGATAAGAGAAGCATTAAGCTGCTGGCTTTTGAACAAGCTCAGGGTCTACGGAAAAACAGGCGGGCTCTGGCTGTCACTTCTGCATAGGGCCTTGTCCTGAACCTACTTGCTGAAGGCGAGAGAACCTCCAACAGGCTGTATGAAAAGGAGTGGACAGAGCCTTTGCTCACCTCAAACCCCGGTTTTCGGGGTGTCCATTAGCGGTGCTGACTGATCTGACTGAAACGTGTCTGCGGGAGTGCCCATGTAACCTCTCCATCATCAGACTGTGCTTAACAAACATTCAGGCAGCCAAGAGGGTACTATGCCCACATAAGGAATTTGAGCTAATCATTGCATATCATTGCATATTCATGCTACTTCACTGGACGGCATTCCCCCAGTCACCTTTCAAAACCCGGTGCCAGTTCCAGGAGGCCGATCAAAGGGCCTCAGCTGCAATCTCCTCATTCGTCCTAGATAATCGAGAAGAACAGGGTCCCCGTCATAGAGCCCCGAATAAGGGGCCCAGAGCCCAGAGAAACTCACCAAGACAGCGCTGTTGCAAGGATCATGTTGAGAAACTTCTACATCAAAAAGGATTGCAGGGCTGGGTCAAGCCAAGGGGCGCCCGTTAAGTCGACCTCCTCCTGCAACAAGGGGCTGTGGGTTCAATTTAAAGTTGAGGTTTAGGGCTCAACCTGTGAGTTTAGGGTTTGAGGTTTTAAGTTAAGGGCTTTGCGTTCAGGTACCACTGGAAGTTGTGGGCTTGGAAATGACTGATGTTTCGGCTTGTACGCACGACTATTGGGCTTCTTCTGCAGCCATTGCGATGAGATTTTGCAGACTTGGGAACCAAAAAGAAAACTTCCAAGCGGGTGCATTGTTTGAAGAGTTGGAGCCCCGCTCATGTATACAAAATATCCGGAAACCGAAGAAAGCTCTCATCACTTGCGACGCCCACAACCCTTCAGTACTTGACAGCTCCTCGGACATTGTCTCGTGGGAGCTGCTGGCCTGCTGGGTGAAATTGATTGCCGCCAGACGTTGTCCCAAACTTGTTCTGAGAAACCTCAAGTTGTGTCTCTTACCGTACGCTGACATGAACCAGACTCCAAGAATCGTAGTGTCAATTGGTGCTGTAGAGGTCTAAATGCAGCAAATGCTTGATAAGCTTCCTACATGATCCCCAAACTCAAGAAGCAGTGCTCATTGCAAAGATCCGGCCCGTTGTTCTGACCCTTCATTATGAGACTGAGGTCCATAAAAGCAACTCCAGGAGCAGTGCTTTATAACAGGAGCTGTGTCACAACTATCGGTATTGGAGCAGGGGCGTATGCTTAAACTTACACGAAATAAGGAAACCCCCAAGATGACCACGTGAGTAAAACCTGTCGGCAGCGCTGCTTCCTCGCGCAAGGCCTGACGAACCACGGGCCTGAGTGGATTTTCTGATGTATGGGTAGTGACATCATTGAATAAAGGAGCGGCTTGTGACAGCTGAATGTAGGTAACAACAGCTCATATGGCACAACAGCGACAAGAAAAATATCATTCCAGAATGATTAGGCCAATATTTTGGCCTCTAATAGTCATCATGATGTTGCAGAGTAGCAATCAGATGAGGTTTCATGGCGCTGGAACCAAGGAAAATCAGCAAGACGGCAGGGCCTTTATTCAGGAAAAATGGCACGCCTAGCTTGTGCGTGACTGGTTTAGAAGCAGCTACAGAGGTTTCTAGCCGGAGCACAAGCTCAAGCATTAGGAATTTCATCCTCGCAACCTACAGTATTACTATGACCGCTGCTACTACTCATAATACTGCTGCCACTGCTGCTGCTAACCTCTGCTATTCCTCCACCTACGATTAGTCCGCGACGACCAGGAATCTGTTATCACGGCTTCGGTACGATTTTTGATGTCCAGCTTCGAGGTTTTCGTTGCCAAGCAGAAGATGTATGACTTACGGATTCAAATGGTCCGGACTGCAGAAAACTATCTAAAGAAAGCCATCGCACCTCAGCTTCAAGTCCCAGCATTGGGAAAAAATAGCAACCCCCATCTGAGCCAACGACCTGTCGACGTCGTTGTCACTTGTCATGTCAACCTGTTTGTTTGCACTGTGGATTTTGGGACTACCAACAGACAAAAAGAAGAAGCCCAGCACAAAGAGGATCCTTGAGGGGTCAGCCGTATCGTTTGAATGATGAGAAGAATGCAAGGCGGACCAAGAAACAGCTATCACAAGTATGCAGCGCTCTACTCCCCTCCGATTGGTTTACCCCCAAGTCACGGAGTTCCGACTAGATGTAGCCCTAGAAGCCACCAAAAGGCGCCTCGAGTTGTCAAAACTGTCATGTTTCTGTGTATGTTTCAAGCGGTGGCAGTGCTTGCGGAAGACGCAAACGGCAAAGCGCTCCATGCAGGGGAAGCTCCATATCGAGAACGAGGGGCGCTCAGGACTATCATGTACATACTATGGGCAGATTCTGCCACCCTGCATTCTGAACCCCATAAAGCCAATATGCACGCGATGTTCCTCTTACTCTAGAGCCTCCAGATCAGCTGGCGCGGTCGCCTGTCTTGTGTTTCGCATTCGCTGCACCTGCACCCAGAAGTGCACTAGTTGCAGCTGATATGAACCAAATCATCAGACCCAACATGATGAGAACGTTACAAGCGTCAGATACATGGGGCAACGTGATCATCACGCACTTGCACCATGATCGTGCTTTGAAGATAAGAGGATGAAACACTCTAACCTAGCACTATCTAGCACTACACATACTCCCACGTCCATGATGCAGGCATCTGCCATGGCTGGCTGACATCTTGCGGGATTCTGAAACCATCTGCAGTAAACATGCCTAGGGCAAAAAACCATGGCAGCTCATACAGAATTCCGGGCCCTAAATTCCGGCTATGGCTATATGTCCTGTGCAAGACAGACATGTCGGGCAGAAAAGTCATTATCAGTTGCGCACTTCCTCAGCGATATGGAGGGAAAGCATTACATGCACTGAGGCGATGGCCAAAGATTGCCTTGCTCCAGCCAGGAAGGAAAGGTTGGAGTCGGAAAAAGAAACCCTGAATGACTTCACATTACTGCTTCTCAGGATTTGGGGTGTAATCAAAGTCATACAGGCACTGTACGGCTTTCAGTCTTGATCTCTGGATGTCGCATCGCATCTTGCAAGAGGTGAAGAATCAAGTTCAGAAGCTCCATGGCAAGTCACACAACAGATGGCATGAAAACTTGTCAGAAAGATTTCGCAGGCTAGCTGCACATCTGGATCCATCGTCGAAATCCGGGATGTGCCTCCTTCGAATGGGGTCATATGTGACACGTTGCAGGTCTGGCGTATGTCAGCTCATGAAAAAGATGATGACAAATCACATGCCGAATAGCCAAAATGGTGCTGATACCTATACACTGGCAACAGCGGCACAAAGAGCAGCAGGAGCAGCAGCAGCCCTACCTAGTATAAATTGTTGTGGTGGTGGCGCTGGAGGGAGTAGCGGGGCACTGGTTTTGAGGTCATTGCCGTTGCCCTCAAAGTCTTAGCTCTATCAGTAGTAGTTGCCGTTCCCCAGTTCCCAAAACAGCTCCAGACTACAAATGTTGGATATGGTGCTACAAGGGAAGCAGGGAAGGGCAGGAAGGGACGAAGGGGGAAGGGAGGATAATTTCCTACCGCGAGACACCACGAAAACAGGCTTCCCAGAGCTGTTCCCTGTTTACCCTACGATCAGCGGCAACCTAGAAGACAGAAGGAAAGCAAGTTCGAGTCACAAGCGATACCTTAGAGAGAATGCTTTTGTCCTAATGCTTAATTACATTTCAACTAATCAGTTTCCAAGGCATGTCTCTGCGTCCACTAGGATTCAAGGCTTCCATTTCCGCAATCGGCACCGACTGTTGCTTGGCAAAATTGAAGAAAACTAATGACAATTCCACGCTTACGGCTTCAGAGTCACGGAAGTGCATAGTGGCAATTCCACACTCCTGTGATACTCCTGGCACGCCGATCGCGCACCGGGGAAGTCTCCTCCAGC